GAGCTAATCGAAAAGATAATATTAAGTACTTGAGAGGATATGGAAAAACTGAAACTGATATACTGCTTGTAGGATTTTTAGATGGTGCAGCTACTTTGGAAAACATTCTAGCAGTTCCTCAAATGGTTAAATGTGAATGATCAGATGGTCCCACAATTCTACCTTGAAGGAATTGAAAACATAAGTGCACAAAAATTGGTACACAAAAGCTTACTGCAATATTATTCAAAATAGCCTTAGAAATAGAAAGAACCCAAATATCTAGTAATTGATAAATGAATAAATAAAATATGACATATCTATACGAAAGAATAATATTTATCTAGAAAGAAATGAAATATTACATGCTACAACATGCATGAGCCTTCAAAGCACTCTTCTAAGGGCCAGGGATTTAGCTCAGTGGTTCTGCCACCTGTCTTGCAAGTGTAAGGACCCAAGTTTGACCCCTGATACCAAAAACAAAACAACACAAAACAACAGTCCTCTAAGAGAATTCAGTAACAAAAGATCACATATATGATTCCATTTATATGACATGTTCAAAATTGAAAAAACTAGTAAGGCAGAAAGCAGGTTAGTGCTTTCTTAGGGCCAGGTTTAGGGGAAATTAGAGTGATTGCTAAAGCTTTCTTTTGAGGATGATGAATACTTGAAAACAGAGTGGTGGTGGCTATAGATATCGGTAAATATATTAAAAACAACTGAAATGTAAGTTTTAAAAGAATGAATTGCATATGTGAATTAAATCTCAAAAAGAGTTGTAATAAAAAACTGAGTGGGCCAGGGATTTAGCTCAGTGGTTCCATCGCCTGCCTCCAAGTGAAAGGTCTCGAGTTCGATCCCTGGTACAAAAAACAAAAACAAAAGTTAAGTGGTCATTAGATTTGCCATCATTAACTTGTGACACTGATTTAAAAATTAACAAATATAAATGACAATCCCAGAAAGAGTCATATTTGGGAAATAATTTCTAGAAGTAAGTCACTTACCTGTTTGCTAGAAAATAAGGGTTTAAGGGCTGGGGATTTAGCTCAGTGGTTCCACTGCCTGCCTTGCAAGCTCAGGGTCCTGAGATCGATCCCTGGTACCAAAAACAAACAAAAAAACACCAAAAAAAAAGCTTTCACCCGGAAAAGATTGGAAAAGAGAAATGCTAAACATTTTCAATGGTATTATGACATACAAAATTTTTATTTAGACTCTATGTGAGGCTATTACAGTGCTTTTTAACTCAAATATTCATTGTCTACAGTAAGTAATTTCCACTAAAGTTAAATAAAGGTGGCAATATTGTACATTCTGTTTCCTAAACTCTTTTTTTTTTTTTTTGGTACTGGGGATCGAACTCGTGTTCTTGTGAGGCAGGCGGCAGAACCACTGAGCTAAATCCCCAGCCCTTAAACTCCTATTTTCTAGCAAACAAGTAAGTGACTTAGTTCTAGAAATTATTTCCCAAATATGACTCTTTCTGGGATTGTTATTTATATTTGTTAATTTACTAAACACAAAAGCTGTTTTCATTCAGAATGTTAAAGGTACCTCTATTTAAACTCACGTAAAATCTTAGGCTGGGGGTATAGCTCGGTGGTAGATAGTGGCTTGCCTATCATGCTCAAAGTCCTGGAGTCAATCTCTAGCACTACAAAAAATAAAAAAATAAATTGAAAAATAAAAATAAGTTGTCTTGATTTGTACTGCATTTGTACTTGATTTCTTCTGCATTAAAAGCCCAGTTAAATCCCTGGCCCATCCTTACCCTAATTTTAGGAGCCCTTTGGGTAAGAAATTCTTGCATACTACATAAGAATGAGGTGCAGAAAAATAACCTCAAACTTCCCATATCCCCAGGTTGACTTTCAGGCATACTAGAATGTCCTGGGTTTAAAAATGTCTTATTTATCTACTTCATCAAAGAGGTGGGGGTTTTGAAAGCTCACTACCGTGTAGAGTATGATAGCCTAGAATGTGGGAACTGACAGGCACGTAACATCATTTACGACAAACCCCTCTTTTATGGAAGAAGAAGCAAGATGACTGACCAAAAGCAGACAGTGGCATACGGTGTAAAAAAATGGGGCTCAAGAATATGGAGCTGGATAAGATGGAGCTCAGGTGTTCTGACACCCACAGCAGTGTCTTCTCAGCAGTTTGGGCAGAATTAGTTTGCCTGGACACCATTGAATTATGTGCTATATCCATCCACCATTAGAGAGGACCTGCAATTTTATTTCTAAATATAAACAGCATAGTCCAGGAAAAATTAAGCTAGCAGGAGAAAGAGGTTACTGTAGAGATGACTTTTAAAAGAATTTCTCTGCCATAATTTCTCTTTTCCATTTACACACATGAATTTGAAGTTTTAATATGTAGTCTTCTAAAAAGCATTTCAAAGTATGCATGTAAAGAAGAAAGGTTACTTTTATATTTGTAGAGTTGACTATTTCCTTGTTTCTTTTGGGGCACCATGTTTCCCTAAAATGTCATGGATTTTCTAAATGTTGTGATTCCTCAACCAAACAACTTTAGATCATTTCGTCCCTTCCCCCCTCTATCTTCTCTTATTGGTCCTGGAAATTGGCCAGCAGGATTATTTATGGCTCTTAGTTCATATCACACCTTAATAATAAACAGAAGTAATTTTCCTTTGTTTTCAATTTTCAACAGAATGGTAGTTAAAAATTGGCTCCCATCAGAAAGCTCTTTCTCTGAGTCTAACATGCTGTGCTGTGTATATACATGATTAACCAGTACAATACGTACAGCAAAGAAGACGGGTGAGAGATTTATTGATTCTGGCTGAAACAAATTGAAAAATAACCTTGAACACTTTGTGAAGTCCATAATGAGTTCCACAAATCAACTTTGGAGCCAGCTTAGCATATCCATTTAGTTGAGGCATAGAGCCTGTGTTTGATCTAACTTAATAAAGTAATTCCAGTATAAAAAGTAGTCCAACATGACTATATCCTAAAATTTGTGTTTTTTTTAAGCTGAAAGAAATGGCATTTATCTTAAATACAATTAATGATATATTAGATAAAATATTTTGTTAGATATTTTGGGGGAGTACCTTCTATTAACTAATACTTTGAGGTTAATTTGTGGATTGAATAAATGTCTTCAAGTTCAGAACCCATTCTAAGTAAAACTCAATGGCTTGACTGTTCTACAAAATTCTCCTCTATTCAGTGAATTAAAATTCAAAATGTTGCTGTACATGAGAACATGAAAGTATTTAGAGTAGTCAGTATAATTGCATTGGTATCTATTCTGTTGAACAGACTCACCCCATTTGAATTAAATATGCAATCAAATAGTAATACAAGGTTGTGTTATTTAAAAATAAGTAAACTAAAAAAAAAGAATGAGAATAATATAGTGAATATAATTATTAAGCTCTTCGCCAATTAACTTTCTGAAGTAAATCAGAAAAAAGGGAGAAACTATGTAAATAAGCACATATAAATAGCTCAAACACAATTTCCAACTCAAAGTTTTAATTGTCATTTGTGTCAGGGTATTTTTTGTTTTGAAAAAAGAAAATGTCTTTGGATCTTAGATTTTATTCACAATGTTTTTCTATGTATCTTAGGAATTATCTGGTTCAAAGGAAGTAAAGAATTACATTTTTTACTTTTATTTCAGAAAAGTAGTTTGAAGTGGATTGATGTCAATCACTTGGCTGTCAAGAAATCTGATTCTTTGCTAAGGGTATTCTCGTCTTTCTTTTTCCATTTTTTCTTTCTTGCCAAAGATAAAAAATGACTAGTTTCTCCAAAATGCTGGGTGATAAAAGAACCAAAAATGAGTAAAAGTTATTCATTTTGACAATATATTACTGGTTTGAGTAAGAAAACCAATCTATAGATTTTAAAACAAAGTAGTTTGTCTCAGAACATTAGAGGAATTCTTCTTTGCTCTTTTAACAAATATTTCCAAACAGAAAAATTATTACAATCAAACTTAGAAAAAATATTCTCCTCTGAGGCAAGACAAATAAGATGTTTAAACAGCAGCTGGTAAAAACAATTGCTAAGCCTCAGTGTAGCAGAATGAGAGCGACATCCTTGTTCCTGTAATGCCTTGGTTTACAAGGCAGTGACACTCAAGTAGAACTCTGGGGATTGCCACATTTTTGTTTGTTTGTTCATCTTGTGGCACTGGAGGTAGTGAGCCCAGAGCTTCTGCATGCAAAACAAGCTTTCTACAACTGAACTGCACCCTGGTGCTATTTCCACATTTTGTCACCTTGTCACAGACACTTATGCTTAAATGAAAACAACCTGGTTAGTACCAAGCTCAACAAGCACAGAAATAATTTCAAAGGCACCTGAAGAAAACATCTTCACACAGAGCACAGTTGTGTGCCTCTAAGTCCATTTGTAAAATTGATTCATTTCTATGGAAAAAGGTAAAATATTGACTACTGATGAAAATTTTCTACACAAATATTTTTCAGTTGCATGCAACCCCAATTCTTACATAAAACTAAACTAAATTCTTCTGGAAGATTTCATTAATTTCCAAAATGAACATCAGAGAGAATAAGACTGCTTACTAAAAGTACATTGAGATACCTATAGAATAACAAAGAAGACTTCCATGTTAAATAGATTGTCTTCCATCCCTGCAGTTGCTATTTTTATCTCGATTAACTTAAGGTAAACTTACCTGTCTAAATTTTTGTTAGTTATCAGAATTTCTGTGCAATCCTTGATTTCCATTTGAACTTGATAAGACAGAAAGAGGATGACAGGGTGAAAACTCATTTTACCCACTCCAGACAGGAAGCGAAGAGGCATCTTTAGGATTCTGAAATAGATTTGCACAATCATTTAGGCAAAAGCTCTTTCAGAAATATCTATGAATTCAGGTTTCAGATAAGACATAAAGTAGTAGATAAAGTGTAAACTTTTATCTATTGCTTTAAAGGTGTATGTGTCATAGCATTTTTCTAATAACTATGTTAAGAGAGAAGATAATCCACTTACTGCTCACGGAGTCTGCAGAGTTGAGGGTGGTGGCAGGAGAGAGAGAAGATCCTGATTGGTGTTATCAAAAGGGGCTGCTCCTTTTAACCTATTCTCGGTTTGAAAGAAAATTTAGTATCTGTGTTTTTTCCTGATTATCCCTGCTAATTTTTAAAATAAGTGCATTATTGATATATAACTCACATGCCATAACATTCACTCATTTATAATGTACAATTCAATGGTTTTAGTATGTTCACAGCAATCACTACTATAATCAAGTTTATAACATTGTCATCATTCCAAAAATAAACCTTATATATTTTAACCCTTTACCCTCCCCCCAAAACTTTTATAATCTCTAGACCTAAGAAACCTATAATCTGTTTTCTGTCCATAGATTTACATGATCCCATATCAACAGGATCACTCAATCTGTGATCCTCTGTGATGGGCTTCTTTCACTCCTTACTCATCAAGGTTTAATGGTTAATTTAAAAAAATATATATTTAGGAATTATTTCAAGAGTTGCTAAAATAAAAATTGTATAAACCCTCCATATACTCCTCAATCAAATTATTCTATTATTAATCAACTGTTAAAGCTTTTTAATGTCTTTGTTATAGCAACAAAAAGAATTACCATTTTGAATCTTTTAAAAAAATGGAACAGGGCCAGGGATTAAACTCAGTGGCACTGTGCCTGCCTCATAAGAACAAGGTCCTGTGTTCCATCCCTGTACCACAATTTTAAAAAAAGAAACATGAGGGCTATGGAAATTCAGTGACAGATACGTACTTCATACAGGCAGTTTGATTTTTTTCTATGTGTCCAGCAATATTCAGCAGTACATTAAATATTTAGACTTTAGCAACCAAAAATGAACATATAGGAAGCTGGGCTTAAGGTCAAAGAAGGGCCAGGGATTTAGCTCAGTGGTGATGCTGTGTGCCTCGAAAGTGCAAGGTCCCAAGTTTAATCCCTGATACAAAAAAAAAAAAAAAAGGGATATAAAGTCTTTTTCCATCATTTTCAATTGGAGTTATAATGAATTAGTATTTAGTAAGCACCTATATTTTGTTAAAAAGTGGTATAAAGAGGAGCAAGTCAAGGTGACTAAGTTTTTACAAAAATAACTACGTGATCTGAATTCTGTTAGTAAAATTATGACAAATGGCTTTCAGAAGGAACGAGGAAGGAAAACACTATTGGAATCACAAAAGGCAATATAACTCAAAAAATCTTTGGATATCTATTCTCCCTTTTATGACAAAAGGCAGAAAAGATGGCCTGGGATATATCTATTTTATAGAAGACCGAAAATATGAAGTTAAGAAGATTCTTTCCTGTTTTATTATTTTAAAGGTAATTAGGGGAGCTAAGAACCTGAGGTAGTTTTTGTCTCCCTTTGGTAGTACTGGAGATCAGATCCAAGGCTTTGTACTTACGAGACAAACACTGTACCACTGAGCTACATTCCCAGCCCTAAGGTAGGTTTGATTTTTTTTTTTTTTTTTTTTGTTAGAAATAATGGTACTTCAGGTACCTTGGATTTATACTTAGCATACATTACAGTTTTCATCTATGTTGTAAAAACTCTACTGAATATAATTGATGGTTTAATATTTTGGAGAAGGACAGCTGTGCTAGAGATCAAACTATAGCCTTGCACCTACTAATCAAGCTCCCTACCATTGAGCTATACCCTTAACTTCTGGTTTTACACTTTTAATGTTACTATATCACTGACCTGGCTAGGGAACAGAAGTCTCAGGTGCTTGTCATACAGCTTCCCAGAGCTCCTTGGAGATCCTCAGAGTGGACCTTTGTTGGAAGGAATTTGGAGAGTTATTAAAAGCATATTCCCTTGGGAGTTTATGAGCTAAAATTAGGACACTTTGTATTATCACGTTTCATTGCTGATTATTAGTCTATAAACATATAAAGTATTACTGCAAAAATATTCCATAAGAAACATATTATTCTATAACCTCAACCCAACCTCAGTGTCTCTGGTGATTTGAATGAACTAGAGTCCTTCAAGAAGTAAAATAACAACATGGTGGAAGATGGCAGAATGTCTTTTCTGTGTGTGTAAAACCATGTTAATTGTGAGCTACACAGAGAGTGCAAACTGTGGAATGGAGCTAAGAAATCTTTATTTTTAGTTCAATCCCTAGGAAAAAAAAAGAATAGAAGAAATCCTTATTTTTTACTCTGGGGAGTAATTTCATTTCTTCACTCCATTTCCTCTTGCTGGGAAAATAGGGAAGTAGTGGGAATATTGAATGGGTAAGAGTACACTGAAGTATGGATATCAAAATATTCACAAAACATTATATAAGTATCATTATGTTTTTGCATAAAACTAAGTATATTTTCCAAATTCACATCCTTTAAAAAGCTATATTAACTACTGTAACAACTTCTTCTAACAAAGCACTGTATCAGACCAAGGATTTAGCTCAGTGGGGCATGCCTGCCTCATAAGCATCCTGAGTTCAGATCCCTGGTACTGGGGGAAAAACAAACAAACAAACAAAGCTATGTATCATCTCAAATATATTTTGCAGCTGGGTGTGTGGCAAACACCTGTAATACCAGCGCTTGGGAGGCTGAGACAGTAGGATTGCCAAGAGTTCGAGGCCAGACTGGGCTACATTGTGTGTTCCAGTGTTTCAGGTCAGCCTGAACTACATATAGATCTTGTCTCAAAAAAGAAAAAAAAGTATTTTACCAAGTCTGTTTTACCTAAATATAATTTTACAAAACCCCCCATTTCCCCTTTGTGTATTCCTCCATGTTGTGGCAATTTTGACAGTGTCACAATTTTATCCCTCTTCCTTACAGGAAGCTTTCACTGTAAAGGCTCTGTACAAATGTGTAAAATAGCTAAGTATACAATCTGAAGTTCATTTGAATTTAGGAAAGCTATTTACAAAGACACCTGCCTCACTTCTTCTTTTGCAGTACTAGAGATTGAACCCATGGCTTTTGGACTGAGCTATACTCCCAGTCCATTTATCTGTCTGTCAGTCTGTCTATCATCTATCTATCTATCTATCTATCTATCTGTCTATTGAGGCAGGGTTTCATTAATTCACCCAGACTGAGCTTGAATTTGTGATCCTCCTCTCTCAGCACCCAGAGTGCTGAGGTTACAGGTGTGTTCTACCATCCCCAGGTTATTTATAAAGAAATTTTAAATGGAAGGGATATAGCATCTTTGAGAACATAGCAGGTTGTAATTAAAAATGACAGGAATTGCAGATAACACTTCAAGTATCTGCCTGAAAAGTACAACAACTTTAAACCCCTTGTCTAAACAAAGGTATGGTAATGGGCAGTACAAAAAATTAGTAATTTTTGTCTGCTTATTTTTCATATAGGGAAATTTGCAACTTTAGCTATTTGTGGGTGGGAACAAAAGAAAGATGGTAATCCAAGGGCTTTTCCATTTCCAGGATTGCAAGTGTTCTTAGGAAGAGGAAGTAGAAGCTAAGTCTAGAAACTTCTAGCAAAGGAGAGTTCTTTGGCCAAAAAGCTTGATCCCATTAGATCTACAACCAGCACCTCCCAAGTGTGGATCACATTCACACTGTGTCACAGGCTAACCACAGAGATGAGTTTGAAAAGATCACTGCCCAGAAAAGCTGTGGGCAAAAATTCAATGCTTTAGGGCTAGGGATGTAGCTCAGTGGTTCCTCTGCCTGCTTCAAAAGCATAAGGTCCTGAGTTCGATCCCCGGTACCCTCCCCAACCAAAAATTTTTTTAATGCTTTAGCTGTGGCTTCTGCTACCAGATTCCCCAAATGGACCAGCTACTGGAAACTCCCCTTTATTTTCTTCTTCAGTAAAACAGAAAGGGAAATATTTGCCATGTAGGAGTAGCTATGGTTAATGAAATAGGTTTAAATATTTGGCAGCAGAAGAAAGAATTCAGATCTGCGGTTGAGAGGCAGGTCATGGGAAGGTTAGGTTAACCTGAAAGCTCTGAATCCCTCTTTCCTCTTTTCCACACAGTTGGCTGTTCAGCCTTTCTATTCCATTCACACCAAAACCCAATTCCAGCAGAGAAGCTGGACACATCCACACTGCCACTCACCATGCTCAGGGAATCGGACTGTCCAACAAATGCCTACTATTGCAACAGTCAGTACTGTCAGTGGCATTACTGTTGGTTTGGTGTTTATGAGTGATTTTTTTTTTTTTTAAGAAAATCAGTTCGATACCTTCTTTTTATTTTTTAAAATAAGGACTGATGGGCTGGGGATTTAGCTCAGCGGTTTGGTGGCCTGCCTTGCAAGTGCAAGGACCCGAGTTCAATCCCCGGTACCACAAAAAATAAATAAATTAATTAATTAAATAAAATAAAATAAGGACTGATAATTTAAAATTACAAAAAAGAGTGTGCAGCTGTTTTAAGACCCTCAGTGTTTCCTAACGGAAACCTCAAACTCCGTAATAAGCAAGCAGAAACTTGAGGCACAGTTTGAGAGTAACTTAATGCACCTGCTGAAATTTAACATAGAAAATGTGAACCTGTACTGTATTTGTATGCCTTTGTTTTCTTTTTTCCAGGGACTTACTGTATTTTTATTGAATTTTAAAAGTATCACTGTTTGACTGACCAAAATGAGGGAAACATCATCCATTCTTCTTCCCAGTAGTCTGAGAAGCCTTGCTTTAAAGAACACACTGTGATGGTCATTGCAACTCTTGAGTCATTTTTCCCTAGAAATCGTGACCTGTGCAAAGAAAGCAGCATTGGGAGGGAGCACCTGTTTTCAGATCTCCTTGTTTGCCATGGACTTAGGAATCTTTCTTAGCCAACCTGCAGGTGGCTTGACAGGGATTCCTTCTTCCCAGCTCCTGGCTCCAGGTGATAGCTGAGGTTTCATCCTCTCTGCAAACACCTTCAAAGAGTGCGCTACAGATATGAAGTTGGCTTTCTCCAAACACAGACGGATTGTGGAGGGGGAGTAGGTGAAAATCATATTCTTTATCACAAACAAACACAATTAACTGGCAACTGGATTAAGATAGCTAATCAGTCAAAATTATTTAGAGGTTCTTATAAGCATTGCCCTTCTTTGGAAAGTTCCTACTTACTCCATGAGATAATACTCTGTTAATGAAATACATGTCCCTAGGAGTATTCCCTCCAGGGCCGTTCTTCCTCTTAAAGTGACAAGACGAGGCTTCAGTAAAACCAATACAAGCTTTAAAAGAAAAGAATGTTTTTAAGAAAAAAATGAGACATGAAAATATGTAGTAAAAACTTGCCCAGCTTTGGTCCAGTGAGGGTCCACCTGAAATCCCTTATTTGTTCTCAGTCTCAGTGATCCGTTATTCACTCAATAAATTTTTCAGAGTTGCCACACTGAGGCACTCACCAACAGTATGGACACAAGGTGTTGTATGGCCATTAACAAACAGCACAGATAACATCTCAGGAGGCCAGACAGGATAAAGCAGGTGAGAAAAGTGTGTCACAAGTTTGAGAAAGAGAAAGGGAACATTTGCTATTTTGGGACATTCTCTCAGAATAGGTGAATGAAAGTGCTAGTTATAAGAAAATATTGGAGACTTTAGTTCTATATGAACGGACACAGGCTTTGAGGAAGAAAGAGCTTGACATGTTCTAGAAAAGTCAGAGGCCAGGCTAGATTAGCTAGAACTTAGCAATGGTGATAGAGAATCCCAAGATAGCCAAGTAGAAAGTCCATGTGGGGGGCTAGCTGGGGATTTAGCTCAATGGTGCTGCTGCATGCCTGCCTTGCAAGCAAAAGGTCCTGAGTTTGATCCCTGTACCCAAAACAAAACAAAGAAAGTTCATGTGGGGCCATGAGGTTACCGTTATGCGTGAGATATTTCTATAGGGCTGAACTGGAACTGGTGATTGTGATGTTATGCATGTGCATTGGATAATACAAGGACCAGTCTCTATTATATGCACCCACACTGGGGTGAGGATATGGCTCAGAGATCGGTGATGCCTGGCATGTTCAAGGGCCCAGGTTTGATGATCAGCACCAAGATAAAAAAAAAAAAGTACCTAAATCAAATACCCAGTGAAACTGTTAAAAAATACTTACATTAATCACCTTTATAAATAGGTTATTGTAATTAATTTGTTAAGTAGAATAAAAGGAATACTAGCAAAATCAGATTCACATAGGCCCTCCAACTAGGGAAGATTTGAACTACTCAAGATTTAAAGTTTTGTTTGAGCAGCCACCCTACACCTGAGTTGATATATGCTGTCTCACCATATAACATGATCAAACCAATAAGTACTACGCTGTGTGATGAACATTTGTCACATTCTTCACACAGAGCCTTTGCTTCAGCAGCTGCCACTTCCTGCTCTGGAGTGTTGGGTCATCAGCTATACTGCAGACATGACTCCATGGGAATCCTTCTCCTTCGGGAGAAAGATTTGTGCAGGAGAGTAGAGGGGAAGAGAGGAGAGGAGGAGAGGGAAGAAAGGAGAGAGAGAGAGAGAGAGAGA